CTTGTCATTACACCTTTAACTGACAGGTATTGTGCTCTCAGAATATATAAACTATATGGTCAATTCCTTAATTCTTATTTGTCAACAATAACATTTTCTACAAGCATTTAGTTTACAAGTTAAATACGTTGCACTTGTGGCCAACATTCTGTATGCCCATCAGATAGCTGTATTTAAACAGCAACAGTCCAAGACGTGGAAACCCATCTAGAGAGTGCATGAATCTCAGAAGGCACAGGAGCACTATTGTACTGGCATGCATTACAGATGGCAGCCACTATCCACCACCTAATGTGGACACTTCATCTAAGATACTAACAAAGTGGAGGGGTGAACCTCCATCTAATCAATGTACAAAACAAGGACTCTGCACACATAGTTTCATCCTTATGAGCTTACTCTGATCCACAATAAAAAACATACAGGAGACACGCAGGCCTCGGATCAAAAGTGGCCTAATAATCATCATAACAGTATAGAATGTTGGACCTCTATTTTATGTGCATGGTCGGTCCAGATCATTTTTTTTTTTTTACACTATCCACCAGCTCAAACAGACTGAAGATGCTGAAATGACAAATAGACAAGAAATATTTCTCCATAAGCGGTTCATTCCAGATAAACTGAAGTGCATCATACTAGGTCCAAGGAATGTCATCACTCTTCTTCAGAAGAGATAGGCTAAAGGGTAGGCAGGATCACTGCCTGTTTAAGGTGAAAGGATTAAATCACCTTGGTCAAAACAATGTGAGGAACAACTCTGTCTTGATGGAAAACTGTAGGAGTTACCTTACAAGAAAGAGCCTGGAGCCTGATGCTAAGGTGATCAAAAGGACTGTCTTGACTGAGAATATGAGAGACAGCTGACCCAAGGGTTCAAATGAGTTCTCAGGGAATGTCTGAAACACTAGAGGCAAAAACCTAGGAGGACAAACGGACTTGATCAGCTGCCCATCTAGTTGCGGTAACAGCTGAAAGAATTTAAACCTGAATTTTGAACGTATTGGGTGCCTTATTGAGATTTTTGACTTGGTGCCATGTACATGGGCTTCTCAGGTGAAAGAGGGTGAACTCCACTGAGGCCAGGTGATCAGAAAAGAGCTGGGTTGTGTTCACAGAAGTAGATGGGCAAGTAAAAGTTGTGGGTTCCATGCTACTCCATGAACCAGGAGAGATCAAAAGATTTTCCTGACAACCCCAACACCCACTGATTCCTGCAGGAGAGATTGTGGACTGCAGCTAAGGTGGGTGCAGATCACCTTAAATGCTCCTTCCCTGTTCCTGACAGTGATCTGCACCATCTCTGCACAAAGCACCATGAGTGAGCAGACAGTACTGGACCACCAGAAAGTAGGACCATGATCACAGCACCCACAGGAGATTAAGTTCTCTGCCCATAAGTAAGCCGGGGGGAGAAAACACATATTTTTTAAATTTTATTTTTAACAAATAACAGCCTCTTCAAACTCTAGTGGTCACACATCACACACAGTCAAAACCTACATCACACACAACCACATCACAGACATTGCAATCTCATAGCCACACATATCACACACAGAAAAAATCCACACATCACACACCGTTAGCTATACACATCACACACAGCCAGTCACCCACATCACACACAGCCAGATGGCAATACACACAGCCAGCCACATGCATCACAAACAGCCATCAAACACAGCTACAACTATTATGCCACTCCACACATTCACAACACGCACATACTCAGTTTTACAGCCACACATAGTAACCCCATACACTACCTCCTCACACACAGCTTAAAGGATTGATAAATAGAAATTATTCTTGTGATTGAGCATTACCACCTTATATTGAAATAAAAAAAAAGAATACAATAAAGAATTCATAGGGGCACACTATAATTAAATATGCTGTGCATGCATGTGGTCATGAGCTGGGAAATATTTATATGTATATCACCCAAAGATCGTCGATATCATAAATCATTACATAGTATCTCTAACGTGAGTCCTGAGCGGCAGATAAAATACAGGTCCCTCCAATATGAAAAATTATTTTGTGAAAAGTAAAGTGTATGACTTGTTGTGTAAAAAGAATGTAAGTAGAATAAGTAATCCTAATGCAAGACAGGAAACCTGAGCTATTAGGTAGATAATGGTCAGAGGAGACGGGACAATTTGCAAACCTGTCCAAAGCTGTGTTTTTCTGCATATTTAAAAGTTGATTCAGAATATCTCAACTAGCTGGAAAGTGTGCGCCATCAGAAAATGTATTTGCCACTTGCTTTTCTTGTTGTTCTTTATAATTACCCTGCAACAGTATTTCTTCTTTTTCAATTAATACAGGGGGATTATTTCTAATCACATTGTAATAATCTTGATAGTCTGGAGCAGGGGTCCTCAATCTGCGGCCCCCCAGATGTTGCTGAACTACAACTCCCATGATTCTCTGGCTATCTATGTAATTCAAAGAATCATGGGAGTTGTAGTTCAGCAACATCTGGGGGGGCCGGAGTTTGAGGACCCCTGGTCTGGAGACCCATTGAACAAAGCAGGCATTATTTTTAGCGACTATCTTTATAACAAGTTGTACACTTGCAAGTTGTAGTTGTAGTTGAAAAGCCCACAGCCCCACTATAAATGACAAGCTGTATTATAGTGTAGGGGTCACTGCTGTACCTGCAGTAATGTTAATAAGCACCGCTTTGCATCCTTTGCAGTCATTCCACATCATTACACCAGGATTAGGGACACGCAGCGCTATTGATGGTTTAAGATGAGAAGCATGGGAGTCACAATTTACTGTATCTAGAATGCAGGTACCACTAAAGATAACGCTTGCTAAACCTAAATCTATGAGCCCATTGTTGTATGAAAAAGTTTGGGCACCCCTGAGCAAATTACATATTTTATTGACCTATCTACGATATGTTACTTCGAAACCACCATCTTGAATTTGTTGAGTGTCATTTGAATGCATCTCACACGTATTTGTGTGATTTCTGAGTGAGCTTTGACTTATTCAGGGTACCAATGCAACGTCTAGTGCAGGGGTAAGCAATCTTCGGTACTCCAGATGTTGGGGACTACATCTCTCGCAATGCTCGTACAGCCATAATGCTGGGATGTGAAGTCCAATACATCTGGAGAGCCAAAGATTGCCTATCCCTGGTCTAGTGAATTAACCACCACTTGTGTATTAGGTGCAAACATATTTTCATCTTTCACATGAACTAGAATGTTTTCTTCTTTTTTTAGGTGTTATATTACCCTCACTCAGTCTCTCCACTTGACCATGAGTGGGGCTCCTGCGGGCCCGGCAGGGACAGGCAAGACAGAAACCACGAAGGATTTAGGACGTGCGCTCGGGGTAATGGTTTATGTTTTCAACTGCTCGGAACAGATGGATTATAAGGTAAGTTAAATGGGGAATTTACAATCTGTGCTCTCTCTTGTTACAAATGAACAGAGCGCAGTTGCATTGCAATTTGTCTTGTAGTCCGTGGGAAACATATATAAAGGCCTGGCACAGACAGGAGCCTGGGGATGCTTTGATGAGTTTAACAGAATTGCAGTAGAAGTTCTATCAGTAGTGGCGGTACAAGTGAAAACCATTCAAGATGCCATTCGTAACAAGAAAAACAGGCAAGTAGACCATCTATCTAGAAATAATAACTTACATCAAATCAAAATGTAATCTTTTGCAAGGAAAGCATTTCATGGCTGGTCCGTCTCTCTCTGACAGATTTCTGTTCCTTGGAGAGAACATCACATTGAAGCCATCAGTGGGGATATTTATCACTATGAATCCTGGTTATGCTGGTCGGACGGAACTGCCGGAGAATCTTAAGGCTCTCTTCAGGCAAGCAAGCAATTGGAGCTCTTACGCCACCTATTGTTACAAATTATAAAACACTTTTAGTTTAATGCAATTTAATGTACTAAGGCCACAATAAATAAATGGTGATCGCTGTTTAGAAGGAAAAGCCTTTGAAATAAAGTAATTTTTTTACAGGTGATTCTTCAAGGTGGTAGGTAGGGTTTTTTCTTTAACCCCTCCATGACAAATGATGTGCTGGGACTGTAATGATATCATATATTTCGCCTTACTCGTTATCTTGAAAGGGTTAAATGTGCATCTTGTCTGCATTTAGGCTAAATCAGATTAATAAATTGTAAGTCATGCCTAAAACATGTCTTTTATACACTTTCAGGGTATTCAATAAAGTGAGAATGGCAGGGAATTCAAAGTGAATTTTGAATTTAAGGTCAAGATAGCTGAACCAGAAAAAAATTCTCCCAGACAGCTATGATCTCAGTTTGACTACTTTGGCCTTTAGTTTAAAATTAACTTTGAATTGCCTGTAATTCTCATTTTACTGAATAGCCCTGTATGACAGAGAACAGAACATTGTGAATAGATATGTTAACACTAATAGTGCAAGTGATAAATATTTTAACGGCTATATACTACATGGCATTGATTTTAGGAACAATTTAGTGCCCCAAATATTACTTATAATAAATCACCAACTTGAGGGACAAGAGGCACGCAATATATGATGCATTGTTATACTTAAATATACCTTGAAACATTTAGCACACTTTCTAAAATGACATCTCATATAGATGCATTCATATTGAATTGACCTTGATCCAAAACTTGCTCTCTCTGTAGGCCATGTGCAATGGTGGTTCCAGACATAGAGCTGATATGTGAGATAATGCTGGTTGCAGAAGGATTTATTGATGCTCGACCTTTAGCCAGGAAATTTATAACACTTTACACTCTATGCAAGGAGCTGCTTTCCAAACAGGTGAGATTTTCATCAAACAATGAATATCGGTGCTCATGATAAGCCTTTTATAGCATTTGAATGCATCTTACAAAGATTCTAGTCTCGTATTCTAGAACAACTAGCATATTTAATAGAAACATGAATTTAGAATAAAGTTGGTAATTAGTGATGTCCCGAACTGTTCGCAGAACTGTTCGCCACAGACTCCCGTCAGCTGACCCATTCCAGTCAATCAGCAGCAGACCCTCCCTCCCAGACCCTCCCACCTCCTGGACAGCTCACTAAGAATGCAGCTTCAAAATGGATGCTGTCCAGGAGATGGGAGGGTCTGGGAGGGAGGGTCTGCTGCTGATTGGCTGGAATGGGTCAGCTGACGGGAGTTCGTGGCGAACTCGTGGCGAACAGTTCGCAAACAGTTCGCCGAACAGTTCGGGACATCACTATTGGTAATGCGTGTCATTGTAAACAGTAAGTTATACCAATGTTTGGTTTCTTAGAAGCAATTCATTAAAAAGTGAACCTTGGTGAATGGACAGCATAATTGACCCCATATAAAATAAGTTGAAAAGTAATTTTAAATATTTTGCATATTTTTCCAGTTAGACTGTTTTGATTTTATTTTTATGAATTTGTTTGACATTTGTCCTCATTTAATGCAATTCACCATTTAGTGATAAATACCTTGATTAATTAATTTTTCCATATTATTTTGTTGAGCACCATTTCTATACTATTTTTGGGGCATATTTTTTACCCTTTCAAACATAAAAATAAAGTTCAGATTGATAATTTATGGTTCTTTTTAAAAAACCTTCACTTACATTTTTCACAATTGGTGTCTTAATATGTATTAATATGTATTATTATGTATTATTAAACGAACTCTATTGTCACCCAGACCACTTCATCTTAATGAAGTGGTCTGGGTGCAGTGGTCATTTCATTTTAACCCTACATTTAAAACCAATAATAAAGTACACAGATAATCAACTAGGGGTCATAGCTTTAGAAATAACTTTAAAGGAACTCCAAACACCATAACCACAACATCTCACTGTCATTGTTCATCCCATTGTAAGTAGTCAAACTGTCTTTGAACAGTATGACTTCTTACCCGAGGTCTGCTGGGCGTAACCTGCCGTCTCGACTACTAATGCCGTAGCATCAGCTGATGCTCTCAGTCAAAGAGCTAAGCAGCCCTAATGGAAGTTCCTGCATAGGAAATGCCACCTCTCTGGCATTAGTAGTCGAAGCGGGTTATGGGACCTGTTGGACCCCAGCTACGAAGTCAAAAGGTTCAAAAATGGTTTGACCAATTACAATGGAGAGTAGCCGAGGCACTATTGACACCATAATCACCACCGTTTACTTCATCAAAGGCTCTCCGAATGCTTGTAAATTACCCATGACTCCCAGCCAGGTTTATTGGTTGGTTGAAGATTGTAGGAATTGTGTATCACTTACGTTTTTAGAAATTCCTTTAGGTGTGCCTCAAACTATGTAGGGTAATAACTGCTTGATCCAAGGATAAATCTGACTGCCATTCTGGGGTCAAGAAGGAATTTTTTTTCCTAGCTTGTTGCAAAATTGTGCTTCAAACTGGGTTTTTTTGCCTTCTTTTGGATCAACAGCAAAAAACAAATGTGAGGTAGGCTGAACTTGATGGACGCAAGTCTCTTTTCAGCTACCGATATGTAACTATGTAACTATGTAACTATCCCTTGTTAAATCTCGGTTACGACTTCCAACCCTCCAGTTAACTCTTCCTAACCCACCTACTTAATTATCTCTCCCTTTCTAACTCCCCAGTTAATACACCCATCCTCCCCAATTACCAAAGCCTCTTCTATCCTCTAGTTAGCTCTTTCTAGCCCACCCCCTTGTTCTTTCTCCCTAGCCCACCAACCCCTCCTAGTTATCTCTGGCTGCCCCTCCCTCCTTCCCCATTATCCCTGTCTTTAACCCTGCCACAAATGTTGTCTTGTGCTTGTCAAAGTGTATGAGTCCTAATGCTGTATCTGCCCACGTCAAAGACAATTCAGATTATAAACAAATTATATTTCACTAAAAATATAACAAAACAAATGGAATTTCAACATTTTGTCTTAGCTCCATCTGAAATTAAGATTAGATTTCTTAGTATTATCAAAAGAAATACATATCCCAAATTGTGCCTGAATGAAGCCTGATTTCCCTGACAAGAACTTTATGTAAACTAACATGATATAATGAAAGCATAACTTTTCATGTATAATTTGTAGAAATTAAAAGATTACAGGCAGAAATGTCATTGCCAAATGCAGTATGGTACAATAATACCGTGTCTATTGAATAGGCGTTCATCAATACGTTCATTATGTTCTAATCTCGACAATACAAAAGATTTCATTGCAATTAAAGACAAAGCTCATTAAAAATAGGTTTTTTTTGTGGGGGGGGGGGGAGAATAGGTATGTCTGCTATTAATTTCCTGTGATATTATTATTCACCCATTTAGCCAGCAGTCATTTTTGGAGAAGATAATTGTATATTAAGCAAACAGTCCCATTAGCTACTAGTCAGAACATGTTAGATTTCACATTAGCACATGCATTGTATTTGTGGCACCGTATAATACACCGAAATGCAGAAGTCCTTGCTAGAGACAGGCAATTTATAATACAATATACAGTACTGTGCTACAATTGGTGTTTTAAGACACAAATGACATGAAAGCTTTGTACTCCAAGCTGCGGAAGCATATAATGCCTTTAAATCTTTCACAATTACAGTGCGATTAAGAGATCAGTCACAATCTGGTGTTTGGAAGAAAAATCATGGATGACATAAAATGTTAATATTTATGATCCACCTTTTTAATTTTTTTTTTTAATGAGGGTTTACTATTTTCATTTCCGTTCAATTACATCAGCTAGGTGATGAATGTGGGGAATGGTTTATGTATTTATTTAAAAAAAAAAAATCATTAAGAAAAAAAAAAACATTAAAAAGAGAAGGGGACATGCGAAACTGGTGAATGAATCAGAAGGTTGATGAAACTGGGTTCACGTAGAACTTAACACTTTCTGGGTTATTTACTAAGGTAAGCATCCAACGAGAATTTCAAATTGAAGGCCAGAGGAACATGGCTTACTGAGAAAACTTTTCCAACTCAGCTATTTTGACCTTAAATTTGAAATTCACTTGGAAATCGCTTTGATATCTCATTATACTAAATAAACTCTTCACGAGCTACTGGGTCCACATTAATTTTTTTTAAATTTGCATCATTTTCAAACAGAATCTAAAATATTAAAAAAAATACTCCGAATAAATTGCGGTGGAAATTTTGACTCATTCTGTGAAAAGATAAAAAACTACTAAATCAAAATTGCATACATCCTGCAAAAAAGTTCACAGTTACTTTTTCAGCAATGCATGCTTTCTTTGACTATACAGCCTGACAGTATCAAAAAAAAGATATATCATGTAAACAGGATTTCTACTGTTAATTTAATGCTCTATGTTACTGAAATAACGAAACATATATCTTGTTTATAGATTCCTCTACAAATAACACGTACTGTATTCTAGCTGTATATTGTTAAATGTGTTTAATGCTACTGTTTTTCCCCATCACTGTTCATATATATATACACTCTGGGTTTTTATTTTTAAAACAGGATCATTATGACTGGGGCTTGCGTGCTGTTAAGTCTGTCCTCGTGGTGGCAGGTTCATTAAAGCGTGGAGACAGCAAGAGGCCTGAAGATCAGGTATTGCATTCAGTAAAATCTCACTGCCTTTACTTTAAATTGTACTTAACAATACAATTCCATGTTGCCAGCTCTAAAACCTCCCAGAGAATCACTATTCTAAAGACTAGATTGTTTACTATTAGACAACTAGTTTGAGTTTCAGTAAATATGGCTTTAACTTCAACTAACAGTGGTAGTTTGGATGCTGTTTGTTAATTGTAGGATTATAAATGGACCTGAATTTTCTACAGCTCTGCCAATTAAACACCATTTAAATGACAATACTAAATCATACCTCATATGAGTCTCAAACACTGAAATGCTATCTCTAATGTCCCATTTTGCATCTGATTTAGCCTTGATCATTTATCAAGTAGAAATATTAATTTAAAAAAAAAAAAATTTCAACTGTTAGAATTTTTTTTGTAATGTCATCTGCTCTTGACTGATGCAAATTTGTTTTGTTGATAAACCGCCAAAATAATGACATATACTATAAGACATCTTCATGTTCTATTTGACATTATAATGACTTAATACAAGTTAGATGAATGTAGTCGGAACGCAGGAAGAAGATGCCATACTGATATTTAAAATAATATTATGCTAACATATACACTAAAATAATGTATTACAATTATGTGCTCTTTCTGGTCTTGTTAATGCTTAGAAAAATGAATATGTAGACATATTAATATAATTAATGTTTACTTACCAATCTGATATGTAATATACCGTAACATTTTTTTCCCAAACATTTTGACAAAATGATCCTGCATACTTAAAGACTAATTCATACATATTTCATGTCCTATAGGTGCTCATGCGAGCTTTAAGAGACTTTAATTTACCCAAGATTGTCACAGATGATGTCCCAATTTTCATGGGTCTAATCAGTGACCTTTTTCCAGCTCTTGATGTGCCCAGAAAGAGAGACATTGCCTTTGAACAGATGGTTAAACAGTCTACATTGGAGCTTCACTTACAGCCCGAGGAGAGCTTTATTCTCAAAGTAAAAACAAAAATCAATTTATTTTTAATTACTGTCTATTAAAATTACTGCAGTAAAGTTGCAATAAACTTGAAGGTTAACTTTTATTGCAGATCTATCAAAGTGCATATATACAAGACGGTAAAAGGTTAATATGCTTCATTATTATTGTACCTAGTGTGCTGGCATTAGCTGATGCTCATAAATATGCAATTAAAGGGACACTTAAAGCTCATATTTACCTTGCGGAAGTGCATTATGTGTGAACAGTGTGTAGTCTCTTTTACAATTTTTTTAAAAAATGACAGATTTCAATAGAAAGTGGCAAATTTTTTATTAAACTTGTCACATCCCCTAGCTGTCAATCAGGTAACCGGTTTTGGTTACTTCCTGTTGTGGTTAGCTCAATGGAACTAAACTCAAGAGGCAGCAATTGCTCAGAGCACCTGACTTGCAAAGACTTCTCATTGAGCTGCATTGAGAAATCTGTGATTCGACAGATAGTCTGTGCTGGGGGATAGGGGTATGTCTTGGCTGCAGACAACAGATCTGCAGCTTTTGCTAACTGTTTTTAGATATACAGCCAATTAAAAAGAACATCAATAAATGCTCGCCTGTTTTCATTGGGGGTATACCTACTAAA